TGGTTTTTCTGTGGTTGTTGGTTGTGCTGTGGTTGTTGGAGCAGTGGTTGTTGGTGGAGCGGTAGTAGTTGGTTCTTCTGTGGTTGTTGGTTGTGCTGTGGTTGTTGTAGCCGCGGTTGTTGGTGGAGCAGTAGTCGTTGCTTTTTCTGTGGTTGTTGGTTTTGCTGTGGTTGTTGGTGCAGTGGTTGTCGGTGGAGCAGTAGTTGTTGGTCTTTCAGTGGTTGTTGGTTGTGCTGCGGTTGTTGGAGCTGTGGTTGTTGGAGCTGTGGTTGTTGGAGCTGTGGTTGTTGGTTGTGCTGCGGTTGTTGGAGCAGTGGTTGTTGGTTGTGCTGCGGTTGTTGGAGCAGTGGTTGTTGGTTGTGCTGCGGTTGTTGGAGCAGTGGTTGTTGCTTTTTCTGTGGTCGTTGGTTGTACTGTTGTTGTTGGAGCAGTGGTTGTTGGTGGAGCAGTGATTGTTGATTTTTCTGTGGTTATTGGAGCAGTGGTTGTTGATGGAGCAGTAGTTTTTTCTTTCTCCGTGGTTGTTAGCTGTGCTGTAGTTGTTGCCTTTTCTGTGGTTGTTGGTTGTGCTGTGGTAGTCTCCTGCGTTTTTTTAGGTCCTGTCGTGGTTTCGGTCGTTGCTTCTGAGGCGGGAGTTACCATCGTTTGTGCGTCGGTTGAGGGCTGTACACTGGCTTTTGTTTGAGTAGTAGTAGAAGAAGGCGTGGTTTTCACCGTTGTTTCGTTAGGAGTTGTTGGTTTCTGACTGGGTTTTGGCTCAGTTCCCTCGGATGGGGACGGAGGTTCTGTTGGTTTCTCTTTAGTTGTTACATCCGTTTCTTTGGTTGTGCCTGTCCCTTCATCTTCTGATAAGGTAATGAAAAAAGTTAAACATTCGCTTAGCAATTTCTTTTGTTTTTGTCTTTTTTTTCCTTGAAACATCAAAATAAAACAACTTTCCTGTTTTTGCCTTCAGTGTCAAGATGACAGTAAATGACTCAGATGGCTATGAATAATAAACCATGCGGTATTTGACGCTTCATAGCGTCGTTGTGTGACATGTCGATATTGCGTAACATTTAAAATAGGACAATACTGCGCATCATCCCGCCTATGCTTCTCCCATACTGGTCTAAGTACGTATTTTTAAATCTATGGGGGGATGGGGGGATTGCACTAATATTTTGTAATTTTTTATGATTGTTTTTAGACAAGGTGTGGTTTATGCTTTAGTTGTCATAGCAAAGGTTTCAATTTCCGCGGTTGTCAGTTTCCTTAGCTGTTGCTTAAATTCTCTCGGTGCTATTCAAGTAGTCCTTCTAAGTATAAGGAATATGCAGGCGTCAAACTCCCCATCACGCCGATTTACACAATTTAAAGCAATCAGTGGATTGTGGCTATAGGCAATTTTCTTCATCTCTGTTCCTGAGAGGCAACTGATTGCCACGATTAAAGAAAGCTTGGTATAGATGAAACTGAATCGGCACCTTGATCAAACTGCTTTGCGAGTGGCGATCATGAGATCGGTGACCAAATTCCGCGTGAATCGTAATGACAACGAATTTTCCGGGATGAAATTTTCCCGCCCAAGGTGTGTCTACGCTTGGAAACTAGGGGAAAAATTGACTATCTTGGTACATTCCTTATTTAAAACAGAAAATATACTTTCAATAGAAAAGAAAGGTTAAAAATTCAAATTATAATTCATTAAAATATTATTCATGAAAATCCGATCGATTTCCGTTCAACAGTTGCAATTTTTCATTCGAAATAGGTCGGGATGGCTGGAAGGAATCACGAACTGTGGAGCTACATCAATTCAAAACTCAGTTGCTGTCTTGTGTTTTAAAATATCGCATCACAATTTAGTAATTTCGTTTTGTAGCAACAGCTCAGACCGCTGGTTTCGGAACAATTTAAGATCAATACACCTCTATCACTATCACGAGAACGTAACTTCTAGCCAGGCAGCTTAGAGAGAAGCGTTTCAATAATCGGGATATCTAAATCTAGATCGGAAAACAGAAGCTTCAAAGGGCCAATATCTCGTTCCAAAATGATTTTATAAAACCTCAAAGTCTCTACCTCGATATATTCAGAGGTTATTTAGATTCGCACTAACAAGAAAAAGAGAATGTTATCTCGTACGTGGCATTCGGTTAAGTTGTCATTATTGCAACTATTTCCAGAAAAAGCGATTTCAAATGAAGTCTAAGTACAAATATCGATGCAGTACCTGATCTAGGGGCATACTTTGCCGATACACCCGCCACAACTGCTATAATGGTGAGTATCATGGTCAAGAGCAATAGAATATGCCATACTCGAAAAGTGCATGTCTTTTGCAAAATATACTTTTCCTTTGTGATCCCGAAGCCCTCTTCGCATATACTCAGAGTTGTCGAGCTGTCGAATGTGCTCTTGGTAGTCATTTCCTCAGTAGTCATTGCAGTTTCCGTGCAGTATCCTTGCAGGCCCTGAAGGGTCGAACCTCCTCTTTATAGCTTTATTCGAAACTATGACATACCGATAACACTTCTCTGACTAAGTTCGCCACCAAATGACAGGAAGGAAAACCTCCTTCAGCCTCAATAACATGACTGTTTTTCATTTAACCCACCAAAAACCACAGAGCTCTTTTTTGAAAAATATATGAAAACCTTATAGTCATCTACAACTCCTACAGTAAATCTCTAAAGAAGTGTCGTTGTAACGTACACAACTACATTGGTCACGCATACACGGCTGACTTGATTTACATGTTTCCCTAGTGACAGGACCTAGTGTTACACTCAAAGGATGCTGGGATGGTCGTTGAATGACATTTCAATAGAAGAGGTGCTACGCTTGCTTGTTACATCCCGCAATGCAAAAAGATTGTCGATAACATTTATTTATGTATTGTTAAATCTTTCCCAAACGCTGCTTCTCATTCTTATCACCGCTTAATGTCTACAGTAAATATTATTTAAGGTGCTTTGCATCAAAATTTCAAATTCACAAAATTCATTCTGTTTCTTGAGATTCACTGTAATAAGAATAGAAATATCATCTGCAACTAAAGCACATTTGGGCAAATATCATGCTTGATTAGTTTATCTCTACAACTATCTTTATCACCCTAAATTTTACTAGGAAAAATCGTTTTGAAATACGAATTTCTCCGAGAAAATACAACAGAATTAACAACTTTTCTTTTAAGCTTGCTTAATGCTTGCGCAATGTTTTACTTCGGAGCAGTTCACGACCTCCAATTCTGATCCAGTAATCTATGCGATGCGTACTTGTAATCTTCATTCACTGACGGTGATGTACAATATCCTTACATTACTCTTTCTTGTCGGAGATAACTAATTGTCTTTGCAAATCATAATAAAACCGATCATTTACAGTTTTAGTCAGCACGTTTTAGAATATAACAGTTTGCCTCTCTGTAACATTGAAACGTGACCTCAATTTAAAGACAATTTCCTGTGTGAGCTATAATTAGTTTTGGCGTTGAAAGTTCGATAATTGAATTCTTTTCACATTTCACTGTCATCTTTGATCATTTGATCATGATTTATTTTATATACATAGAATGTCCTCATACAACGCGCAATCCAATCGTCTCATGAGAAATAACCAAAGCTAGATTAATATATTTTAATATTATGAAACGGAATTAAAGCCAAAATGAAATATGGATGAAAACTCAAAGGTCGGTTTCGTATGCACCCGCCTCTGCTTTCAACAAAAAAGTTTGACATGAAACAGCATTCCTTCGCGTCCACGTTACGTCAGCTCAAAGTCAACATATTTTATTTTCTTTCCTGTAGCACGAGACCTCCACTTTTGCGGTGGAAATTTTCAAGAAGAACAAACATCACGAACTATGTAACTGTTCTTTCTGTTTACCACATTTTAGTGGATCCACTGTGATATAATGCACGCTGAATTTTCCGTCAACCAATATTTCTTTAAGAGAAGTCAGTTATGAATGGAAACTATCGGAAAGTTGTTAGTACGAGCTCGAGCGTACATCGAGTGCCTTTGTAATTTTTCAAAAGGGTAAACTTATCAAAATGTTGAATGTTTTTCTCTTTCTATTTAGACTCTATCAGTGAATCACTTCAAGTGAAGAGTGCATTCCAGAATTTGTCGGAAAACAAAATGATATTCATTTCATAATTGAAGGGCTTTGTCATCTAAACTGTTGTTTGCGCAAAATGCAAGATCTTTATCTCAGCAGTTTGGTTCTCTGAATCTCATTACGCTCTATCTGTGACGTTCTCGTTCGACGTTAAGGTGTCAATTCCTAATTTGAGGTAGACAAAGACAATTAACACCTAACCTGAAAGATCACGCAAGGAAAATTCATTTACTGTGTTGTTTAGCCTGAAATCCATGCTGCAGACTTTATTTAAATGGAAGTTGTCACAAGTTCAAAACAAAGTTGCTGAGTTGTTAGTGACGGTCTTGCGAAAGTTCTGTCTTATTTTGCAAGTCGCACATGTGACCTTTTACGTCTTCGTTTTGCTTTGTTTTTTTTTTCCTTTCTAGTTGTTGTTGAGTTTTTCTTGACCATTTATCCCGTCTGAGGGTTTCGAAACTATCTCGAGGTCTTGATTTTCTAACATAATTGACCTAATGTCCACTGTATCCTGAGCAAGCTTAGTTGAAATCACGCCGGCGGAACATCGCCAGTCCTATACACCTCACGCTTATGGAAAGCTTATGAAACAAGAGCCTCCCCAAGAATATAAAACGCCGAGGCAGAGTAAATTAAAAGCTTACAATAATTTACTTAATGAATTACAGAAGTCGTGCACGCCGGTAATCACATCTTGAAATGATCAAAACATTGGAAATTGGTTTATTTATTTATTTTTTTAATCAGTCCACAGTTTTCAATTTTTTTTTATGAGGTAGACCCGGGCCGGCAGAAAAAAACAAGAGAGGCGTGCATTTGGACCATTCGCCACCTTGATGGCAATTATGAATAATTACACAAAATTGCTGGTTCCTAAGCGTACAGTTACCTTTACAGCCGCCTTCATGAGTGTCTGATCCGATTTTATTGGAGTATTTCATATCTGGACCTCTTGCAGGGCTAAACATTGCGATTATAACTGCTAGTGTACCAATAATGACGATCATTATAAACAGGAATAGCAGAATATGCCACAGGCGAAAAGTACATTTTTTATGGAAACAATCACGGCACGAAAAAATGCATCTCTTTTTCGAATAATACTCCTGTTTCGTGACGTCGTATCCTTCTTCGCATATTCTTTAAATTGTCGAGCTGTCGAATGTCTGAATGTTGGACATTTTCATGCGGTTTATACTCAGATCTAAACAGAGTTAACTGAACTTGACGTTATTAATAGTGTCGCAAGAAATCCTACTCTTAGGCGATAACCCTTTTGATTTGAATGGAGCGTGCTTTCTCCGCTTAGATGACAGGCAGAAGCTATTGTAAACAAACAACTATGGAATACTTCTAAATTATTTTAATTTTTCTCTTTGCCTTTTTCGCTCAATGCAGCATTCCTGTTCAAACACCGCATGGCTTTGTTATAGTCACTCATTTCTACTTCTGAAACAGACCATATTTGAAGAACTATCATGGTTACGGCGTTTTCACGCAAATCCAGCTCCGGTCGCACAATAGATGTTACGTGTATGCATGTACTTCAAACAGTGTTAGCTTAGTTTATCTCTTTGAAACTAACTTTAGATGGAAGACTTGTTTAATTTTGAAGTGCGCCTTTGACCTACCATTATTGTGTTAAAACTGACATGAATTCATCCAGGAGTCACGATTTTGAAATGCAAATTGGTATAATTTGAGATGTCTTAGAAAACAACGGCCGCCACATTGGCGCTTGTTTCCATCTTTCTCAAGTGTCCTCAAATAAATGAAGGATAATATAACAACTTAATGCATAGCTTTGGTTTTATAACATACCGGCTTCTAATGTTGTCTTGATTTGGTTCCAACCTTGACACAACCGAGGCATCAAAGTATAGGCTTTCTTGACGCTTAAAGACACGGTTTCATAAGGCAAAAACGCTCATGATCTAAGGTTGCAGTACTCTCGAAATCAAAAAGCTCAATTTCTTTTGAGGTGAGTCACGAGTTTTCTTGCCTGAGTGAGCGTCTTGCGTGTAAACGCCGGCTCTGCAGAAAGCTTTTATGATTGATTGACGTTTGATTGACGTTTGATTGACGTGATTAACGTTTTTGCCCCTTTTTTCAAAAGCATTTTCATTAGTCTTTATCTCCCAATATGAATGATTTAACCCTGATGAATAAGGCCTGTCATAGCCTGTCCGGTGAGAGATCGCAGCGCAATAATAGCTCAGTTTAAAATGTAGGGGAAGTTTAGGACGAGCCAACGTTTGTGTCCAGTCTTCTGAAACATGCTAAGATGAAAGAGACGAGATTTTCATTGGCAGGCGTCATAGGAACATTTTGGTCGCCCACATTGCTCTATTGCTTTGACTCTTAAACTACCAGAAGTGATTAACTTGTAACGTCTCGCTAAAATATCCATAAATCATCAGGTGATGAGAATAATCAAACTTCTCAGATAGAATTCAAAGTTCCTATCTTGGTCTGATGCCATATTCTTGAAACTAATTCACAAGGAAATGTGTAGCAGCGGGAGGGGAGTATCAACATTCAGATCTTTGGAGTTAAAGGGTTACTCATAGATAAATTAATGCTCGATTGAGGCAAATGCGCGAAATGTCAAAAAATAAGCTATAAATTTAAAAAAAAAGTATAATAAAGGAAAACTCATTGTATTTTGCTCAGCCATCTGAATTTCTCTCTTCAGCGTCATAACCTTAGTTCAAGAGATTATCACCTGATTATCATTTGGTCAGTATTACATTAATACCATGCGTTAAAGGAAATAGTTTTAATTTTATGACTGACTTGATTTACTGGCAAAAATGGCCCCCATACAAAGCGATGACGTAACAGGATGTGAAGGTGATATTGGATGACAATTTCACCTTACGAACCTTCTAAACCTCGGTTTCCCACCAATTCAACCTATTTCAAGGCTATAACTTTGAAAAAGTAAAATTTGCGAGCAGCAAATAATTATCGATTATTTATCACCTAATTAATTGAAATGAATTCTTTATAAATTGCCGATTTCCTGTTTGTTCAGCGACCACCGAGTGAGCAGGAAACAAGGTAATAAACTTAGATGATGTCTTGGACGTAAAAGTTTCCTTGATCTACAAATTAACAGTTTTGTACCTTGCTAAGATAACTAAAAGGGAACATGAGCTAGTAGAAAATCTAATTTTGTGTATCATTAGTGTAGATTTTACAGAGATAAATTTATGTCATGAACTCACGTGATAAAACGTGATGAAAACGTGGAATCTTGTTATTAAGGGCATTTTTTTCAATTCCAGTATGTGTCTCCACTGTTGGCATAGAAAGCCTGGATAAAGAACTTTCACTTAAAACTTCGATGCAAAGTATGAAGGAAACATTATGTGGGTATATTTTAAACATTTGTAATGAAAGGAAAACAAAAAAAGCTGATACGTGACTGTACTCAATGGAATATGTCATCATTTCCGACTGGAGTCCCAAAGAGATGGGTCAAATTTTTGACCATTAGAATAAGCGTTTCCCTTGCAAACATCTTTTTCCGTTTTCCTTATTTGCATATTTTTTAATTGTGGCTTTAGTTGCAAATGGCGCTTCCTATACTCTAAAGGAGTAAGAATCAAAAACAGAGCGAATCAATGAAAATGGAGACCATGGAAAACTAAATATTTCTCGCTCCCCAAGGGGTGTTTACGAAAATAAAGTTTACAGTTGTCTGAGACATTTATAAATTTCCCGTCGATGAATGAGAGGAACAATTCATGTTGCAGCCGGAAAACTGCGACCAAATGAAAACGGTTCGGGAAAAGGAATTCAGCTTTCGACAGACTTAGCCTCAGCTCTGCCGGTCAAAGTATTGTCATTAAAGCATACTGTTCACTCTGTAGAATTCCCGACTTTCGACCGAGAATTTCCACAGAAATAAATCACTTCAGATGAAGAGCTGTCGACAAAATATGTGTTTGTATCATATTCGATTTAACTGTCATCTCGTAAACAAAATAGCTCAAATAAAGGAAACCCAATTTTTCATGGATACTATTTTGACTCTCGTCAGAAAGCAATCACGATTTTTAAGTGAAGTGAAAACATTGTTTAACAGTTGAGTATTGCACGACAACTGTATTTTTATGGCGCAATATACCTAAATATACCTTGATATAGTAAGGTCAAAGATTTCAAAACAGTTTTGATGCTCGATCTTAACTCGCATTAAATTGTTCCCTTTAGATTTCGTGGCTGTAGCCTTAACTGAAACGTTGAAATTGGATACATGCCCTTCAGACAGACAATGCAACAAGCTAACAAAATATATTTTACCTTCTCCATACACTTTGGAGTGCTTTGAGTTTGGCTCTCTGGGACCATACATTGCTGCCAGTACACCCACCAATAACATAATCAATAGTATGACGAAAAAGAACAGCAAAAGGTGCCAAACACGGAAAGTTACTTTCCGATTCAAAGCACCGCACGCACATTGACATCTTCTCTTCGAGTAGTGTTGCTGATTTGTCAAATCGTAGCCTTCACTCACAGTCAGAGTGGTAGTACTGTCAAAAGTCCGCATGCTAGTGGACATTTTCGTAAACGTATTAGCTTTGACCACGAATCGAAATCAATTAGAGTTCTCTTGCTTGCAACGCTTATCTAACGAAAGACTGAGGAAATGTGACTCTCACAAAAAGGCGACCCTTAACCATCACGGTCACGCCCTGATGACGGAATATCATTACGTTGGTAGACGGAACACTTTAATCCGAAACGGACCGGATTTGACGACTTTCATTTTTCAATCTTTTTTTTTTGGGAGGGGAGAGTAAAATTATACTTTTGTTGTAGTTTCCATCATTCGCTTCATTTTCAATCCATTAAACTCTCCATTAATAAACTACTGGTCCAAGACCGTGTTTATTGCTATCACAAGGAAACAAACTTCAATTAAGATCCTGTCAACGACAAACAAAAGGTTGTATGTGTATTTTACACCAAAGAATGTTAGACATGATGAAAAAGTCTCAATTTCTTTGTTTATCCATCTGTGGAATGCTGTTTCCAAAAACACGTCTCCTTGATATCAGTTTCCATCAGCTTACGTCTTACAGCGTGACCTCGATGCGGCAAGCAAGCCTAAGAGGGGGAGGGGGGGAGGGGGCTACTAGCTATATACACATTGAGAAGTGTCGCTAGATGGGGTCGCTTTTTCACGACTGGATGGACTGCATTGAATTTTCAACAGAGTTATTAACATGTGGTCGGAGATTTTGGGGATTTTGGGAATAAGGAAATAGTGTTAAAAAGGGATTTTTGACTAAGACGGGGTGTATGATTTTAACCAAAGATAAACTATAGTGGGGTTAGGGGTGAGTGGCCAGCGGGACTTACCCAGAAAAAGTGAATCCAAGTAACCCCTCCCTTCCAGGCTGCGTGACCTCGATGTGGCAAACTTGCATGCACGCCGTGAGAAATAACATACTTGCGAGGTCCTGTCAGGCACAGCTTCCGCACAATGATGTACCATTTTTAAAACGTTTATTTATTTTGTCGTTGCTTAGTCGCGACAAAAACCTTGCCTGGGGCAATCACGTACTAACATAGAAATTAATTCCCTGAATAAAAAAAAAAAAAAAAATTATGAATAAGTCCCGATCACTCCATGTACTCTAGAAAGGCCAAAACAATTACGATCTGAGTTTGTCATGTGAAATTAGAAAATGCCAAGAGATAATCTATAACCGCTTGAAAATGCTTAACCCATAATTCATCTTGTCAACGTTGCGGAGTTCGTAGTTTAGCAAATCAGTTCTCTATTTCAATGCCACTTCCTTGAAGTATGCCTCCAGGAAAGTTACGACAATAAAGAGTCTCGTTAGGGTGAAGGATTTTACGGCTAAAAGTTAAAAATTTTGGCCATGTTAATGCTTACGGTTAATTTTTTGTTTTGTAGTTGTAAAATTTTGCAGTTGCCTTGTTTCGCGATCAATCTTTAAAATTTGTCAGTTTTTACGCCGAACGGCTGAACTGTTTGCGTTTTTACGACTAACGGTTTATCCCATCAAGACCCTTTATAGAGAAACAGTAAAGGTCAGTCTTTTTGGAACAAATATCGACAAAATATGAGATTGAAATTAATGAGAAAAATGAGATTAAAGAACGGGATTTACTTATTTACTTATAGCTACCTTTTTTTTTTGTTTTTTTTGGGAGGGGGGTCATTGCATAGTATTGTATTTTCGGCTATGATCTCATTCGGTGTTTATTGCGAAAGAACGGAAATGGAGTTGACAAACTAGAAAATAGATGCTAACGGTAACTGAGATAATACATGAAGTATCTGCTGTTGATAGTGCTCTTTTCGTTTAAACATAATAAGCTTAATTTACACGTAGTTTGATCTATTGTGGGACGGACGCATATATGACTTCCCCATCAAAAACTTTTAGACTTCTTTATTACGTAAAGCAAATAGACTTCACGTTAACATGCTTCTGATCAGCTAAAGTACACAGAAGATGTCAAATCCATGACAAGCTCTGTCCCGCCTTTTGTGCCTTCTTACGCATTTTTATCATAACGTCATCTGTGAGCTATTTCTGACCAGGCGCACGGTAACATAGAATCCTGATTTGTGAAATAGAGCCTTTCGATTTCGTTGTAAGTAAGAGTCGGCAAGATTCAAAGTGAAAGAAAAAAAAATTAAGGCTGGAGAAAACCCAAGTGACCTAATGAAGCATTAAATTAATTGAGCGGCTGGCGCTAGTCCTGTAACGAAAGCGGATTATCATAATTGAAAAGAGTGATAAAATGGTCATTAAATTGATTTCCCACAAAGGAGAAGAGAAATTCAATTTATAGGTTTGGCTTAAATCAGTTCCTTAGAGGACACCCAACCTTAAGCACCGTTATATCAAGACGGGCCAAACCAAGAGAAGCTGAAACAGCTTTAATATGGAATTCCAAATGCTCAGCCCGTGATGACCGGTCACTTATTGATTAAACAATCCCAGATCCTTATATACTGAAGAATGTAAAGCAGCTTTTGCACTTAAATAAAACTGTTTAGGTAGTACGTTATTTGTTTTTTTCCCTACACAACTAAGTTCAATGCCAATGTTCTCATTCACAAGCGATGCAAATTTTCTCACAAAATTAAACCAACTACAAACCGCCAACCTGGCTTCCGCTAAAGCTTTATTTTCTGGGCTTAACTAAGTTCTCATATCAGCTCAAGCACTTGAACGATGAGTCACGCGCAAGCATTCTTACTGAGAACCTGCTTCCATGGTTACCGAGTTAAAAAGCTTGACAGCAAAAGGTCAAGTGCTATTGTTCGCCTCATAAATCTTCTTACTGAATTTTTTAAATTGATTGAATCCATCTCACTTAACTCTATCTTACTCTATTCTCTCCTCGCCGCTCATGTCTAAGCTAATATTGATACTATTTGTATAACGGGATAAGTTTTTAAAGAAACCGTGTGGTGCCGCGTCGATGGGAGAGTATAACAAGATAATGTTGGTTTCATCAACTGAGTTGATAATGCAAACTTGCCACCGAAAAGAGTTTCAAAGCTGACGAAGAAACGTCAGCTTTGAAACTCTTCACGGTGGCCGATTTACATCATCAACTCGGTTGATAAAACCAAATTGTCTTATTGATACTATTTGCGCGTGAAGGACTCTAAATACTTTGAATTACAAAAGAATAAATTAGCTCAAAGTCCACGTTCTAATGCTCAATAGATTCTTCAGAGCAGCGTTAACCGTAAACGACCCTTAACCCTTCCAGTGCCAATAGCTTAATATTAATTCTCCTTGCTGTCTGCCATACAATTATTATAGTAGTATTTTGTAGAATAGTGTTTGGAATGGGATCAACTTGTAATCCCCTGATTGGTATTTTTCTTTTCTTCTCGTCACTTTTCTGTTTGATATTGCATTGGTATTGTAAGCAGAAAATTCTCTCTCGGTCACTCATGAGAGTTTAAGGATCCATGGAGGGTTTCAATGAGGTTAATTAGCCTTTAGCCGTTCGGCGGCAAGAAAAATTTATCCGTTACGCTTAAAACTTTATGAATTATAACCATAGGTCTTTAAAAAAATGGTTTATCGTAAAAATTACTCTTCTAAAAACTATGGAAAGAAATTAACTGTTAGCCGTAATTTGGCCAAAATTTTATCCGTTAGCCGTAAAGCCATTATAAGAACCCCTTGGAGATCCTCTTAATAGTGCTTGAAGCGACTTGTGGGTGGCTCTATTCCATGTTTATAATGGATCGGAAATTGGACGTCTTTATTCTTTCGGAAATTCAAACCCTGAAGGGAATTTCCGGAAAGATTAAATCCAATAGAAGATGTTATTTAACATGTCTTGAGGTTTTACTAATTTTTCTTAGTTTCTTATAAACACCACGCGCATTTACAAACAAATCCTTGGCTTCGTGTTTTTGAGAGGAAAAAGAAACAAAAACCTGATCTCATTGTCTCGGAATTTTAGAGATTAGATATCTCTGCATTTACATTAGGAAAAAAACGTGAAATACGCCATGCGAAAAACTGGATTCACTCGGGTTGCAAAGTAAGCAAACTTGTTGAAAATTTAGGGATATAAATTTGTGTAAACGTGCAGATTTGCATATTTTTGTCACTTTTTCTGTGTACATGTGATATAAATGTGACATTGCGCTCTTTGTTTCCTTCACCTTTGCAGATACTGCAAATGTTTAGTAAAGACATGAATTTGCACAAGCATTATCCTCTTTGCAAACCCAGGCAAATATAGTGCGATACTAATTTTTTAATCCTATGTTTGAATACGTTTTCGCACGGGATGCAAATGTAAATATTTGCTGATAATTTACTATAAATTGATCTAAGAGCAAGAACTGATTTGCTAGAAACTTACAACGATGTGTAATAGAAGGCAAAATAATACAATACAAAATTTTACAAGGTGTGTTTGTTTCTTGCTGCCTATTGCATAAAAAAGGTACACCATACAGCAACTGATTATGCAAAGACTTTTGGAAAATCTGTCGAGTATACTTCTCTTCTTGGCTAGTTAACCTTAAAAAAAAAAACAACAACAACAACAAAAAAACAAACAAAAAAACCTTAGCTAATATATATAAGGATTCTTCAACAAATTGATGTATTGATATATCTACTAGAAATTCACATGCAAGTTTGTGTCCAGTGGTGCTTTTCACAGCAGAAGTCAAGATATGGTATAGATATGATAGCTGCTGTTCATGAAGTAATTTGTTGAGTATATCCAGATACATCTCCATTCAGTGTCAATGACCATCAATTCTTTCGTCTTGGTCAGATCACACAAGACCTAAAACGACAAACGTATTCCAAATCTTTTTGATGTGTTGGAAATTAAATCGATTCAAGGATTTAGCATGTAAAATGATCTCCTGGACAGAAAAAAAATTAAGTTTATTAACTGATTTACACATATATCTTTTACTATATGGGGGTAATTATTTTTTAACTCGAACATAAAGCCCGATACTTCAATTTTTGTCTGTCTAAAGTCACTTTTCTTCAAGTCCACAAGTCCTTCAAGTCTTCACCCATGAGTATTCGAGATACAGACAAGGTAATGCCTTATCTGCATTATTCTGAGGCAAACAATGCAAGAAGCTAACAAAATATAGTTACCTTTTCCAGCTCAGCCAGAGTTTTTCATAACAGGATCTCTCGATCCAGACTAGGACCGTAAAACGCTATCAATATACCCTCCAATAGAATAACCATCAGTAGGAGTAACAGGAACAGCAAAATTTTCCAGACTCGGAAAGAAACTTTTCGATTCAGAAAGCCGCACGCACATTGACACCTTCTCTTAGAGTAGTATTTCTGCTGCGTCAAATCGTAAACTTCACTTACGGTCATAGAGCTTGTATTGTCAAAAGCTTGCATGTTATGAGACATTTTGGTTAACGTTTTAGCTCCACCGCGTATCGAAATCAACCAGAGTTCTCTTGCTCGTACAACGTGTCTGTGACCAAGGAATGTTGACTACTTAAATGTTTGAAATGTGACTCTTATAAAAGTCGACCTTTTCGCTTTTAACCATCATAGTCGCGCCTTGATGACGAAATGCTATTGCGTTAGTAAACGGAACACTTTAATCCGACCGGATTGAAGTCTTTTTTTTTCTTTTCTCTCTTTTTTGACCCCAATCTAAGCTTTGTTTTATTCAAAACATTTATCGTCTATTAAACTCTTTCAGCTTTCTCTTGCAATCTTAATGGTCATAACCATCCACTGGTCTTCGAATCCTTAACTGTTTCTAGTGTGCGTGCGTGCTTTCAAAGACTGTTACAACACGAAAACAAACCCAATTAAGCTCTTGTCAACGACAAACAAAAGTTTAGATAAATATTTTACACCAAAGAATGTTAGACACATAAGAAAGTATCAATTTCTTTGTTTATCCATCTGTGGAATGTTGTTTCCATAGCGCGTCATTCTCTCGATATCTGTTTGTATTACCTCTTGAAAGAGTGAGGGGCATACCTCTGATGCAAACCGATTGTTGAACAACATAATCTCTCCATTTTAAATCCCTATTTACGAGACTTTTCTCACCCGCAAAATCTCGAAGAATGTGCGAACGCATTCTAGTAACTCCACTGAAAAATGCAACCCCACTATAGCCAATCCAGTCGTGAAAATGCGACTGAGAAGTACTTACCTCCCACCTCCCCCACGGGCATGCATACCGCGAGAAATGATACTTGCGGGGTCCTGTCAAGCACAGCTTTCGCACCATGACGTTTTTCAAACGTTCATTTATCTCTGCTTAGTCGCCACGCTATCCTAGCCTGCGGAAAAACCGCAGTAACACTGGTATCAATTCTTGGAATATCGGAACAAAATTAATATAGGATACCTTATGAATTATTTTTCTCTCAAAAGGCTTTAACGATAACAGCCATAGTTCCTCGTGTAAAACTAAGAAAATGCTAATAAGACAAGTCATTTTGAAAACTTGAGGTTCTTTAATTTTTTTTTTCTTTTTTTTTTTTTCGTTTTTTCTTTCTTCCTTTGGGTGGCATTGAGAGGCATTCCACAATAATATATTTCCTGCTACACCTCAGTGGGCGGATATTGCGGAAGATCGGAAATTAGATTGACAAACGGAAACTCGGGTGCTAACGGACAAAAGCGTCAGCATACCCGCGTCATGCTTTCTTCATTTGTCGTATCCTATTTGAGTGGTGAAAGAAAAAACAGGAAACTCGCAACGACCAAGTGTCGTTTACATCACTATTGTGCAATAACATCACATGTCAACATTCCTATCCTAGCAGTATAGAGGAAGTTTGTCGCCATGGACCAAGTTAAACGGCTCGCCTGCTACGAGTCTCGTATAGCTCAGTGGTTCAGCATACAAAGAATTTTTCGGGAGGCCATAAGTTCGACACCGAGTTATTTTTTCCATTAATACTGGCGTCAATCACTGAAGAACATAAAAAAAAACAACAACAACAAAATCATCTGAAGCTTGAAAAACCGCAGATAATCTTTCCGGTCATCTATGAGTCTTATAACTAACACACGTGCACTTTACCATTAGCAAGCATTTTCGCCGAGAACTTGCCTCCGAGGCTACCGAGATAGACTGATGGCAAAAGGTCAAATCTTTTTGTTCGCAAATCTTATTATTGGTCATCTAAATCTTAATTTTTTTATAATTTCAGATTCATTGAACCTATCTCACTTAACTTAATCCTACCCTATTCCCTGCATGCCGCTCATGTCTAAGCTAATCTTGATACTATTTACACGTTAAGGAATCGAAATCCTACTGACAGAAGATTGGAGTTGCTCACGATCCACTTTCTAATGCTCAACAGATTCTTCAGTGCAGTGACAGTCGTGATAACCCCTTTACCGGCCTTTTTCTCTCAAGATCTCATAAGAAGTTCTCCCTACTGGCTGCAATGCCACTATTTGGTGTTACTTTGGGGAATTTTGTATTGGATCAACTGCAGTAGACAATTCCCTCATTTGTTGATGCTGTAAGAAGAAATTCAATCTTGAAGCGACTTGAAGGTGGCAGCAACCCGGTTACGTAATGGATCGGAAACTCAACGACTTCATACTGGCAGCAATTCAACCCGCAAAGGCGATCCGACTGAAAGATTAAATCCAATAAACATGACAATTAATATTTATCGAAGATTACTTAAACTGTCCCAATTTTTCTCAACGTGAAAGAGGTTAGTCAATAAAAAGCGAAGACAAGGTGAGTCTGCGCACTTTTTAAACAAAACTATTGGCTTTGTATGTTAGAGGTTTTAAATTGAGAGCGAAACGAATAAAAAACATTACCTCAGAGTCTCGGGCTTTTTCTTCACAGACTGGTGGCTAAGTAGCTTAAGGTCAGTCGCCATCTTTTTTGAAAAGTCCGATCATATAACGCTTTGTTTTGTTTTTTGTTTTAACACGATACGCAAAATAACGTACTTGTGAAGTTGTTTACCAATTTGTGATAAATTATGTTCCCAACTTACATCAGGCTGGAACGTGGACCTCGATACCTTTACAGTCTAAAATGCTTGTCAATCGAGCGTAAGAAGCTTCACTGGAAAATACGGAAATAAAAAAAAATAAATTAAAAAACAGTGCGCGACCTATTGGGTTGCCATGGCAACACTATCGCATAGCTATTGACGTAAATGCATGAGTAGTGTATAACAGTCTATTTCTTCTCCTGGCAAAACTCGTAAAACTCGTAAAACTGTAGAAATAAGTAAAAACATTCATAAACTCCGACTAGTAACATATAACGTTCCATAAGTATAAATCCATCTGAATTCACTTTGATGTGATGGAAATATTCTTTTCAAAATCGCATTTGTTCAACCATGGTTGAGTTTCTGATTTCGTTATTTTCTTTTTAATCTACCTATTCTAAACATTTTAAATCCTAAATTGAAAAGGTGTCGAAAAAAATACATGGTTATTTTCTTATCTTAAAATTACTTTTTAATGTTTCAAAACTGCATCGATTGGTCCGGGTGGACATTTTATTCATATAGACGTTAAACCACGCGCATCAATTTCTTTGTCAGATGTTTAATTTCGACAACAAGCGAAATAATGTTTTAAATTATAGCGTTTTCAAATCAACAATGAATAGTTCGTAAGAAAAGACCAACATCACCATGTATGCAAATTATTGAACTTGATGCCTGGTCGCGAGGGAAACAGTTAACCATGGTGTTCCTCGGTGGAATTCATTAGAATAATTTAAGCAAGGCCACTCGATCATTAATCTGAAAATCACAGTTGCGATAAACACGAAGTCAACCGATCAGAAGACGCAGAAATCACTGTTTACTTGCACACTTTACCGTTAGAAAGTTTACAAAATTTCAAAAAATTCCACTGGTCTAATTTTCATTTCATTTCTAATTTTCCCCAATGGACATTAGCCCAGGTTTCCTTTCAATAATGTGGATACATTCCGTTGAGATTCGACCAAACAGCACAAGCACTACTGTTGCCGTACCACCAGCCTCCGCCTCTTTTTTGAGCACAATAAGCTGGATCTCTATCCCAAGTATCAAAAATGAGATCTTTGTGAGGATTGAGGGAATCAAGGAAACAGTTGCATCTGCTTAAAAAATACTAATAATTAATACCAAAATTCCATAATATTAGGATTAAGATAACACCTCAAACTTGATAGCTACGCCAATCGACGAAGTAGGCCAGATATCCAAGTACAAAAATATGTGGCAAAATAATAAATACTCAAATTTTATGATTATGCTAACCACCAGCCTCCGCCTCTTTTTTGAGCACAATTAGCAGGATCTCTATCCCAGGTACCAAATTTGAGATCTTCTTGAGGATTGAGATAATCAGAGGAAACAGTCGCATCTGCTCAAAACAAAAAGAAAAATAATTTCCATGACATTAAGATCAAGATAACACCTTTGACGCCTCAAACTCGATAAGTACTATCCGACGAAGAAGGAGAGATATCGAAATACAAAAATATCGGACAAAATAATAAATATTCAAATTTTACGACCTTTTTGCTAAATTCGAATTTAATGACTGTTCTATCTCAAGCAGCTTCGAAAGCAAACTGTCCACGGAGGAGCGTGGATTCAACTAGGCATGGACAGAATGAACAGTACAACACAGTCAAGCGGGTGTACACTAGAACTAACCATTGTTTGCAGGTTCTGTGGAGTTGGGGGAGGGGATTGAATTAAATGCCAGTAACAGACAACTGAATATTTAAATTTTCCATAGGATTCAAGTTGCCACTTACTTGTATTTTTGATTTGCTAAATTTAAAGTCGACAAACATCAGTTTAAGCAGCGTCTATGAAGAAACCAATTTTAAATCTTGTTTGACAAAACAGCTTCAAGCTTTAGTGGGAATGGGGCAGTAGAAGTCGATAGGAAAGTAACATATAAAAATCGAACAATGAATGCTTAAAAAGAAAAACGGTTTAGTTACTTGTGATATTGCCAATATACAGCCGATACTTAGTCCCGGTACTTGGTCCCAATCCCGAACCAGCTATATTCGGCGTTAACAGTTTTGCCAGTGATTACTCCCAGATCTACTCGAAGCATGTTCTTTGTCTTGTCTTGCGTCAGACGGTTTATCTTGTCCAGTCCGAGCCAAAATTCACCGACTAAGTTACTGAAACCATGTTTGTAGTAATTCCAGGTGCGATTAAAATCAACAAAGCCATCCATTCTCTTCTGGATCACTGTCCATCCCCCACCAGCTGTTGTATGGTCACAATATACATTAAAGGCGCCTAAACCATCTGGGTCGATTGTGTAAACACCACTGATCCTTCGACCGGATTTGTACAGCTCAGCACAGTTTTTAGCTGCTGGAAGGAAAAAAGAAATAAACAAATGAGTGAAGGCTAATGAAGATATCAACTCACGTGAAGGAGAATCTTACTCTCATCTCATGAACTTTCTGTTTTCCGTGAGATTGTTAACCTCAAATCAAACTTGCGCGAGATCCTCTAGTATTGGGACTGCAAGCATTGTTATGATTTGAATACTCACGGAAAGTACCAAGAACAGCATAGCAGATCCTATTCCCATTTTCGGTAAGGACATTTTTCTGGATGCTGCCGTGTGACGTTGCTACAGATTTTTATCTCTACTCTTTGCAATTTTGAATGAACACCGTGCACATAATATCTTTAGATTCTCAGTGGGTTATATGATTTATCCCCTACTCATATAAATGCCCTTTGTGCTAGAAGCCCTGTTTGTACTTATTTTCAGAAAGACGAATTTTGGCACGAACGGCGATGAATCAGCCAAAAGCTCAGGCATAATTCTGACTTGTTAAAAACTAAACGTAGCCGTCGACCATGCCATTGACTCGACATTGGCAAGCCATTTCCAGGGGAGCCAACTTGAAACTAAACCTTTGTAAAAGGAGGTCACTCTATGTACTACGAAAATGTTTACGTTTGAAAAAGTAAGCATTAGTTCTACGCTCCCCTTTTTACCTAAGTTTATATGCATCAGATGTTACATACCTATTCCTCGGCGATTGCCACTCAGTTAGCAAATAGACTAATAAAACCTCAACCTCTAAGTATTGTTAAGTGCACTTGCCTCTCCAATTTGATTGCTTTTCTGTCTCCTGCGTGCTCCCTGCAAAAAATGATCAAAGTTTGTGCATAATGACGGTCTTTTAAATATTTGTTAAAAGAAAAAAAAAAAACAAAATAAACAAATATCCTTTATTTTAAGTTCTACGTGACTTTAAACTTCCGCAGTTATTTAAGACTTACTAATTTCGCGGAAAAAGCTCGTACTAATACGTGCTATGACCATCTAATCCTTTTGGTTGGTCTTGCACAGAGTTCGTGCAAACTGGCACGGAATCTGTCATGGTTTATGATTGAGGCGTCGTCTCATGTAGTCTCTGTTGAGAGCGGCAAAACAAGGTTATAATAGATATTTCCTTATGTTAAATATCATAAATGATATTCTGACCAGCGAATAAAAGGCTAATTAAGAGATGATTCTTGCACGTGGACTGCGATTAGAGAACTCGACGGAATTCAAACTCGGTACTAAGATCCAAGCTAAGAAGCCAGATGTTGGGAGAGACCAGCGTTTGGCTGCATAGCAAATATTTTACAGCAGTCATTACATGATAAGTCAGTGGCCCAAAAATGACAGATTTCCTTACGTCAGTTGCACGAATAGTGTCATGCAACATATTGATAAATTTTCCCTTCTAGTACATTACGTTATTGCGGTAAACACCAGCGATACACACTCTCTGAACAAATCTCATTTGTTTTCCTGCAATTCTGGACTAAAAACTCCTGAATGCAGGTAATTTGCAAATAAAAAACGCCGGAAACCTTTTTATCCCTTTGCTCGCCTTACGTCAAACGTAAATACTATCTAGGGGAAGAGTTTTAAACTCTGAAAGGAAGTTTTGAGTGTAAGACGCCGACAAGCTTATCGTAGACGACGGCAAAAGAAACAAACCAAACTATCGGATTGTACTGTTTTGATTCAAAGCTGGATGTTTAATTACTTTTAAACTTGGATTTTGAAAATCAAGCTATTTTGACCACTCCGGCCGTTTTTAAAAGTCTTTTATTGGCATTTATCTCGTCCGAAGAGGTTAAATTTACTTCTCGAAATGTCTCCGTAAAAGTAGGTGTAAATTTCTGCCTTAAGTCATATCGAGCGAGACTTTTGACGCTGAATTATCATGGTTGCAAATCTATCAAAACATGTTATATTTCAATTTGTCAAAACGAGAAAGCGCCTTCACAGTTGGCTTTCTCTCCCAGCGGAGATAGATAAAACCAGTTACTCTTGAATAATATTAAATTCAAGTATTTATACTGGATAACAAAAATTAATCCTTCTTTACTAAGCTTTTTCGGTCAAGATGGCTAGAAATTAGCTTGAGCTTTGTTGTTGCTGTTTTTTTATTACGTTTTTATGGACTATCATAAACATTTTTGCGTTTTTATATACCATCATGAACATCATGACTGTGGCAACCGATTAAGCGATCAATGCATTTCCACATGAATGCCTTTGTAGGTCTTTTTGCAATGCACGAGTCGTCAGTAAAGCGATCCACATATTTGAGAAAGGATTTCTAGGATCGCCATTGGGTAAACATTGCGAGTTACCGCAAGGAAATAGACGGCGAGAGGCTGTTTCGAAGTTCAGAGAGATAATATATGTTTTACCACCCCCCCCCCCCCCCCCCCCCCCCCCCCCCCCGCTTTTTTTTGTCTGAAATGGATTAAGACAATATCTATACGAGAGTAAAGTGTAACCCCGAAAAATTCAAAGTGAGAAATGATTCTTCCGGTTCCTGTAGAACACAGTTTCCGCACAATAATATACTTATCATTTTTGAAATGTTTTATTATCTCTTCGTTGCTTAGTGGCCACCAAATCCTTGCTTGAGGCAATTACGCACCAACACTGCAGTTCGTGGTCTACTGTTCACTGTATCTTACTTGAATTACCCTGACTTCTGAAG